TGACGGGAGGCCCCTCTCGGCATTCCTCTGCTGGACCAGGAGACCCCGGCCGCCTCTCAGACCGTGTTTCATCCCTCTTTTATAAAGCCCAGCATGGAAATGCCGAGCATCCTCAAGCTTGCCATAGCTGATCTCTTGTGCTCCAGAGCAAAGGGGGACAGAGACATGTCTCTGTGCTCTGGAGAGATGGCCAAGCATCCTCCGTGCCACCACAGGCCAGCGTGAGGCCAGCGCTGAGCTGGGCATGCAGAAACCAGGGAGAAATCGGCCCCATTTACAAAAGGCTTTGCTTTTTGGGGGGCTGGCTTTGTGAAGCCTTTGTGGGTTCTAGCAGTTACTACCATGTCATGCTGTGTTCCCTTATGGTGTTCCCATCCAGCACCCTGGATGCCAGCAGAGGAAGACTACTGAGTCCCTCCTGTGCTCCAGGGCAACAATAGATGTTAAAGCTTTCAAGGGAGGGAAGGGAAAAAACGTGCAGTGATACTGCACTGGTTTGGTTAAATGGGGAGCCACTTGGCAACTAAATTTGATAATGCTTTTGTCCACGGGTCAGAGGTTAAATATGTTCACACTAATCCCCTTCATCTAGAATTAAAGGACAAGAAAGTTTTCTCCGTAGCTTAGCAAGAGGGCTTTTCCCATCGCGCTTTAAACAGTATTTGCACAGGAAAATTAAAGGTGGCCCATTGGTCCCAGTGCCATCGTGGCTGTACTGCTCTGCCACGCTCCCATCTCCTCGCTTGTTTTGGTGAATCCACCAGCTTGCATGATGCCTGGCCTCATCACATTTCCCCATGTGTGCAGCAAGGAGCACAGGGAATTCTTGCTGCCATTTGCTGTCAAGGTGGCAGAAGCAGCCGTGGTTTGGGAGGCAGGGAGATTCCCGGCTGCAGGAATGCGCGCCAGGACTCAGATTTCAAGTGCTGTCACAGGACATTACTGTCAGACAAAGGGGCTCTGTGCTGTGCCCCTAGGACCCACTGCCCCCAGACCCTCTGTGAGCTGGGGCCAGCACCTGAGCATCCAGAATCCACTCTTGCACCCAAGAGAAAATCTGTGAAGCATCGACTGTCCAGCACAGCCCAGCAGTGCCAGCGCTGCCTCTCCCCACCGGGACTGCGGAGCCGAGGCGAGCACGGGAGGGATAATTACCTCTAAGCATCCTTAACACTAAACTGCATTATCTCCAGCTATGGAGAAAAGCATGATCCAGAGGTATTTCCCCCTGAAGCCTCGTTGGGTTGCTCTCAGAAAACCCTCCTGAGTCCTGGGAAATGGTAACAGAAAGTCACAGGCAGCCCAGGAAGACGTCAGCTTGGTTTTGGTAAGGAAGTGTGCCAGCTGCTCTTGCTGGCTGCTTGTCCCAGGCATTGCTCTGATCAAACTGCAGAAGAGGATGCAGCAGGACAAGCCACAAACAGCATAAACCACAAACAGCATCTCCCAAATCTGCTGCTGGAGCAGATACATTGCAGACGGCAGTTGGTGGCCAGTGGCACCACTGAGACAAGCCCCAGCCACTGGCAGAGTCATGCCAGCTTCCTAGTGGAGCTGGCCTGACCATTAATTATGGTGCTACACTGAGTGTGAGTCAAGCAGAATTTGTATTTCAGTGCGATTTATAGCTCACATCACCAAACTCACGTGTTATGTTCCACTTGCTCAGAATCTGTCATTTCCACACTGGAAGAAGCAGTGTGCCATACATCTGCAGCACCACCGCGAGGTTTTGGGCTGGAACCATTTTGAGGCAGAGAGAGCAAAGCCAACGTGAGGAGATAAGACAAATATGTAATAAATTGAACTCAATGTACGTTTGCCAAGAACAGGGGCGGTGTGTGCCCGTGTGACAGTGCAGCTCCGGTGCAATGCCCCCTCCACCTCCTCCAGGCTCCCACACACTCCTTGGCAAACCCAAGCCAGTAATGGGTTTGCTGGGATGCTCTTCTATGGAAAAACACCGAGAGCTCTGGCATATAACACAAAAATAATTTAAATTTTTTTAAAAATCCCCGTGCAGTCATTGAGCAACACTTGCCACGGGACCCAGCGCGGGGGCATCCTGCCACCTCTGCTCCCAGGTTCCTGCTCTCACACGCCAGACCTTTCTCCCTTTGTACCTCCACTTATACTGCACGACTGTTTTGAATCTCTAAAATAATGTGACAAGTTAATGATGGCACAATTATCTAAATGTTTAACAGACATGTTATCTAAGTGAATCGGATTGAGATTCCATCCCGCTGACAATAAACATCAATGGGAGAGCAGAAAGTGATAGGCAAATTATCGCCAACCCTGCAATTTCAATGCTATTAAATTTGGAGGAATAACAGCCCTGAGGCCTGTAAACTCTGAATAAAATAGACCCTTGTGTTTGGCCAACTATTAAATCAAAATGCTACCAACATCCCAGCAAAAGAAAGAAACGGGGGGGAAGAAAAGGGGGGAAGATATAGAGCTTTTCAATTTTCAGTTACATGTTGATTTTATTAATTCTTTTCTGCTGCTGGTGTCTCAGGGCAGAGGATATGAGGGATATGAGGGATGCAAGTATGGGATGTAGGAAGGGAATGCTCGCAGGGGATGTGGGCAAGGGGGAGTGAAGGGTCCTGTGCCATCCTTGGTGGCGCGGCTGGGGGCACGCCAACCCCACAAATCAAAAAGCCAACTACTTGCCAGAAGCAAACATGCTCTATAGTAGGTGTCGCTCATGCCCACGTGAAATTGGGTCAGGAGTAAATCTGTGCTGTCCCGCTGACTGACACCGGCTGCCGTGTGCTAACTGCCTTGGCACACGGGAGGAAACTCGAGACGAGTCACCTCTGATATTTATAAACGTCAGCACGAGCCCAAAACCCGTTAGCACGAACACCGCTCGTGTGCACATCCCCACTCCCAGCGGTGCTGCCTGGGGGTATTCAGGCTGTCATCTCAATGCACTCTGGTTTTTCCTCTACATTTGAGGAGATGGGTAAGGAATTTTCCATGCTCTCCTCCCCAGCACCAAGCTTGTGCTGCTGGAAGATGAGCCAAAACAGTTGCTGCTTTTCCTATTGCAGCGGGACGGGGGCCAAGGACAGTACACACCCGGAGAGGGCGTCTCGGCCCCGTGTCAATGGGGCTGCACACAGCTCTGCCAGCACCCTGCTTACAAGCAAGAAGTACTTTTCTGTATTTATTCTTGTTTTTTGCCTTGCCTCAGGAAGTGGGGTGTTAGTTTATTGCTGTAGAGATGAGCAGTGCTTGGTGCAGCACATGTACAACAGCCCAGCTCTGTGTTACCGTCATTCAAAGCAGCAGGGAGGGCAGTACAGAAAACAAATAACATAAAGGGGGCTCTGGGTGCTGAGAGTCCACCTGAGAAATAGCCCCATATGCTGAAAGAAAACCCCAGAACCCTTAATCTCCTGCACAAAGCTGTAGGTCATGTGGGCAAGCAGTGACTTTTGTGAAGAGGTCCCACATCTCCCCTGAACACTGTTTTTGAGTGATGTGGGTAGATTTGGTCAGCCTGTACCAGACACGCTGCCCAGCTTTTGATGCCATCCCTGAAGGCCTCTACCTGCCCCTCTACCCAAAAGGGTTAAGCATTTCTTTTACCTGGAAATTTGGAAGGTCTTTTGCCAGCCAAACTGAAGCTAAGGGCAAAGGGAGGACACCCAAAACAAATCTGTTCTGGAAGATGCTATTATTTGAGAAGGGGGTTAATTATAGCAAGGCAGGGGAGGGATGCTTTCCATGCCAGCAGAGGAGAGGAAATGATTCATTTTGGCTGCCCTGGCCACTCAGGCCCTCTCTGCCATGTTTACAGCTGGAGGCAGTAATGACAAGCTCCCCTTGGGTCTGTGTCCCCCTGCTCTGCTTGCCCGTTGCCCTTTGAGTTTTGGCACAGTCCAGCCCCAAGGATTCACCAGCCAAAGGGGGTTTAATCCCTACAGGAGTGTGAGGGTTGTTAGCCACACTGCTCTACATCTGCAGGATGGTTTTGGGTGCAGGAATCATTGAGCTCCAAGGCTGGGCTCCCACTTGTCATCCCAGGATGCACAACAGGTCTGGGAAATAGAAGGAAAAGGGGAACCAGCTGCAATTTGCTTGTCCACTTTCAACCCCCTGCCTGGGCTTGGGTTGTTCAGCCCTGTGCAGCCAACCCCTCACCGTGCAGGCTGCCCCTTCACAGCCCTTCTCCTCAGCCTACAGCACACAGGGCTTCCAAACAGACCTGGCATGACAAATCCCAGCTGTATGGGTATGGACAGGGAGGGCAAGTACTTCAGGATTTATGGACTGGTGCTTGGCCAGCACAGCTCCATGTCGGGGTGGTGGCCGGAGCCATTCCTGCCTGGTGACACAGCACTTTGCATCGATCCTCGCACCCCCAGAGTGAAGTCAGCTGGGTTCTCTGTGCCAGCACCAAGCACAAACTCACTGCCAGTGGCATTTATCAGGTCTTTCAGCACTGAAAGATGAACCTGTGCTCAGTTAAAGCGCTCCCAATATAGCACAGGAAGAGCAGGCGCTCTGTCCTGCTCCAGTCTAGATTTGGAGGGTGAAGGGCTCTACCTGGGACTACCCAGCTGTGAATTCCCCCAAGCAAACCTTTCCCAGGCACGGCAGCTTTTGCAAGAGGCTTAAAGGCTTAAAGAGATCCTTGTGCTCCTGATGGTGGCATCTGGGAAGTGCCAGAGCAGAAACAAGGCAGAAACCAACTTTTGGGAGGTGTTTGGACAGGGACAAGTTCTGCGTGCAAAGGGGACAAATGACCTCACGTTTGCTGTGCCATTGTTTCCCATGTTAATGCTGAGCAGTGGTGTAATAGCACTGCACCAGCTGGTGCCCAAATCTGTGCTTTAGTGTAAGAGGAACTGGGGCTGCCTGGGCAGCACAGAGGCAGGAACTGCAGAGGGTCCAGCTCTCTGTTGGGCAAAGGGTGACAAAGGCAGCCCAAATGTTGAAACCTGTGCCTAAATGAAGGGTGGAAGGGGAGGGCCACGTACCGGTGTGTGTCTGCCGGTGCGTCTCCAGGGCATCTTCCTTCGAGAACTGGGCACCGCACTGATCGCAGACCAGGGCTTTGGCACCCGCTGGGAAGAGAAAAGGGAGAGGAGGATTATTCGAGGGACACAGAGACACACACCTGAACGTGCACATGGACACTGCTGCTGCCATTAGCACTCCACGACCAGAGCCATGCAGGGGTTTCACGTTTAATGTCCCCTGTGCAGCCAGCAAAAGCAGTGCCTTGTTCAGCCCTGTGTTCCTGTCCCTTGCACATCACAGCAAAATACAGAGCTGCTTGCCAGGAAAGGATTATTATTATTATTTTTAAAAATCATTAAATTTCAATGCATTTCATTAGCAGTGCAATTTATCCAATTGCAATTTGCTTCCTGTCCCTTCCCATCGTGGCTGGTGCTGCTGGTACCCAAAGATGCACCTGATCAGGGATGTGGCTGGAACAGGACAACTGAGCAAGAAGCTCAGAGGCATCTCTGACTATTGGAAAGAGATATGGGATTGGGGGCAATTCTTAGAATATTACTATCAACATGTGCTTCTGGTTTGGGTGAGGAAAAACCCAGGATACCCAGGAGCAGGTAAGTAACTTCCAGATGAAACCAGATTAATGGTGCACCATATCCAACAGCATTGAGGGACAAAGCCACAGCCCCATTTCAAGATTTGATTTGTATGTTGTGAGGAGCTGAATGTTACAGAGCAGACGCAGAATGCTCTGCTGCCCATTTCCAGGGGTCCAAACCACCCCTCTCCTCCCCACCCCACCGAGCCCTCTGTCCCACAGTTAGGGTGGGATTTGGGGAAAGGTGGGTGGAGAAGGCAACAGGGAGAGAGGTATCACAAGACGCATTGAAAAGAGAATTCCTTTGCCTTTAAATTGTCTCGGTAACGGCTGGCTCGCAGGCAGAAATATTTGGCAGCAGTGAAATTAAAAGTGATAAATTTTCTCGCCAAGAGCTGATCGATAATAGAGGTCTCATCTGTTAATCAATATGACAGTCTGCCTGTTTACTGTGCATATGTTGTTCCCCGCCGCCCTCGCTGCGATGTCAAGTTTGCATTCAAAACAACCTGAGTGCACCTGGGCACCTCGGCTGCTCCAGAGGGGCAAACACACCCAAACTTTGGGGTGCTCCAGGGTGGCTCCCTCCCAGCTGCCACCGGCCAGGGGAGCACGGGCCCGGCACAGCAGCAGCAGCAGGGATGTGGGGCAGCGGGATGCGGGTTCCCCCCTCCAGGCACAGCACGAAGAGGCAGAGTGTGTCCGTGCAGGTGCCGGGATGGGGAGAAGCGGCCGGATCCATAGGGCAGCAGCTCGGGCTGCCCTCAGCCCCGCACTCGGGGCGGGCAATGCGCAGCCCGCAGTTGCCAAGGCAATGGCTCTCCATCGCCACTCAAAGCTCCGCCGGCCCCAGCGCAGCAAGGTGTGATCCACGGGGATGTGGCGACCCAAATCCCCGAGGATGCAACAACTGTGCCAGCAACAGGCTGTGGCCGGAGGGAGGCACAGCCAGGCGAGGCAAAGGCAGCCAGCATCTGGCTGGGGGGCGGGCGGAGGGGGGGAGGAAAAATTCCTGGCGAGGCGAAAATAAACAGGGCGAACGCAGGGAGGAGCCGGGCGCACTGGCTTACATAAGGAAGCACAGTGTGTACCAAAACAGCGGACCCAAAAAAAGCCGGAGCTGTCAGAACAATGAGTACAGACGCGGGGCATTTACAGCAGGCGCTGCCGTACAGTTTTATTTACAGTACCTCTTATCAGCGCGGGAACAGCACGCCGCCTGCCAATTTCCAAAGGCCAGGACTGCGTGTTCTTTCCCTCAAGTAGATGTGTACTCCAGGCGGGGGGAGGTTTTTCTTTTTTTTTTTTTTTTTTTTTTTTTTTTTTTTTTTTTTTTTTTTTTTTCCTTTTCTCATCAGCAAAACAAAAACTGATACGGAGCCAGAATTCCTGTAATGTACACACGCCGGCGGGGAGGGGGAGGAGGAGGAGGAGGGCGGCGATTGAATATGTAAATAGTTCAAGGTTAATTTTACTATGTGAGTCACCGGGAAAATGTCATCCAACATCTGAGCTTATTATAACAGGGCTCAGAAAAAAAAAAAACCACCACGGCTTGCTGTTTGTTATGAAAGGGAGCAGGACACGTTGGAAAGCGGAGCTCATGGCAGGGCTCTCTTCTCCCCCCTTGCCTTTCTCCCCGCTTTAAACAGGAACCATCAGCCTCTCTGAACGCAGGCGCAGGTTTGGGCAGGGTATATTTAGCCAGCGCCTCGTATCGCCTACAACACAGAGATATCTCCAGAAGATCTTGTCGATGGCATGGGACGGGACTCTGCGTGCTGCCAAGTATCGGCCGTGTTTCGGCGCGGGCCCTGCTGCTGGCACCAGCCCCCCTGCCGTACATTTATATCCGCACAAGCCAATTTACAGCCCCTGCCTAATAAAGCTCCGGTGCAAACGGGTGAGGAGCCGCTGCTCGCTCCGTCCTGCGCGATCTGCGCAGTCACTGCTGCCCCGTGCGCACCCCAAGCAAGGCTGCAGCTGCCCAGCTCTGCAGTGCCCCCAGCAAAGCCACAAGGACGGGCAGAACTCAGGCTGGACTTGATGATCTTCCTGATCTTGATGATCTTTTTGAACCTTAGTGGTTCTATGATTCTATTATTTCATTTCCCCCCCGAGAAATGCTGTAGGGCGGCTCTGGGGAGCGGGATGCCCCACGGATCACGACACAGGCAGGGGCTGCAGCTCCCCCACAACCAGCCAGGCTCAGCTCGGTGGGCTGGATGACAGAGCTCATCTTCTTTCAGCCACCATCAGCCCAACAGTCCCTCCCAATGCCCATCATTTGATTACTTTATTGGGGAGGAGAAACTTCTGTGGGGCTATGGAAGTGGCACTGTGAACTCTAGCTCAGGAAAAGAGAAGGAATAAAGGAAAAAGAGGGACTGCCAGCACACTCTGGAGGAGGAGGAAGATGGCTATGGGAGGAGGAAGATGGGAAATTGGTGAGGAGAGTGGTGGGGGAGGATCCAGCCTTCCCTGCTGCTGTTTCGGCACAATGGCCCCGTCAGTAGAATGTGACATCCCCTCCCTCATCAGAAGGGATTAATAAAAATTTGGGATTATATATTATTAACAGACTGTAATTGGTGAGAAGATGGAGATGGGGGGGGGGGGGGAAATATGGATTAAAAAAAAAATTGGCAAGAAAATTTATGCGCTGCCGTTGCTTTACTACCTAATTAATTCAGTAATTTCAAAACCAATTTTATTTATGTTCCGTTTACCACATCAGAAGTGCAAAGAAAAAAGCACCAAACCACAGTGATGCTAAAATAATACCTCAAGGCATCTATTTTTAATCAGTGAAAAAAAAAAAAAAGGGGAAAAAAAGAGAAGAGCCAGCCCGGCTTCTATACAATCTCTGCCGGGCAGACCACCAACTCGGGGAGCGCAGCAGCCGAGCCCTCTGCAAGTGCCTTCCTGGCTGCCGAAAACAGAGCTTGTCAAAAAAAAAAACAAATCCATAATGGCCTGAGGCTCCTCTCCAATCTATTTTCTGCTCAGCTGGTTTTAAATGAAGTTATTATGAGTCATTAAAACACCCGCAAGCCTGTGGAAGTCAGCCAATTACAATTTTAAATTTAGCCTGTTCTCTATCCCATTCTCTTGTTTTCTTCTTTTGCCCACATCAAGCCGCTTTTGGATTTTTATTATTGCCATTATTATTATTATTATTATTATTATTATTATTACTACTATTACTATTACTATTACTATTACTATTATTTCCCTTCTCCCCTGTTTCACCCGAGTGGAAGAGACAAGTCATGAAAATCTCTGTGCTAAAAAGATACAGTGGAGAAACCCAAGAAGGGCTGAAAAAAGACAGAAAAGACAGAGCTGCAGAGCAGGCCTGGAGAGTCAGCTTCAGCTCCTGCTTCCCAAAGTGCCAAGGAAAGGTAATAATTAATATCAGAAAAAGTGAGGTGTGGGCATTACAGAGCGAGGAGGAACCTTGAGTCGGGGTGCTGCAAACTCGTGTGAGGGGGATGCTGTGGCAGCATCTCACGGGCTGCCCTGGAGAGCCTCGGGAAAGCACCCGGAGTGATGGAGCAGGGGCTCGGGGCTGGGTGAGGTGGTGGTCAGCGGCAACACCATCAGCCAACCTTGGCCAGGCAGTGCCACCAACTCCTGCACCACACGGGGACCGCTGGAGCAGGGAGTATTTTCATTTAAAAAATAATAATTAAAATTATTAATTATAATAATTAACTTGGGATCCCAAAGCGGCAGGTTTTTACACAAGCCCCTTTCCTGCTGCCCCTGCCAGGGCCACTCTTTCCAGCAGCATCCTCTCCACAGGGAAAAAACGACAGACCCCATCCCTGGCAGCCCCGCACGGCGAGCGAGCACGGCGCGTACTGCACAGCCCATAAAACTCCAAACAGCCTCCAGACACTCCTGCAATCGTCCTCCATCAAAACACTTTGTCTTGCATACAGAAATGCGGCGGGGCGCCGCGCGGAATACCAAATCAGCCCGTGACGGTGCGGGGAGGCGGCTCCTTGGCAACCGGGGGGGCTTCGCCACCGCCGCCGCTCGACAGGAAACAAAATCTGTCAAGCCTGTTGGGCAAATGATAAACATTAGCGGTATTAAAAACAACACAAAAGCTGCGTAAATGGCTGGCGAGCGTGTGGGGAGGGGCGGGCAGGGATGAGGGGGCTCCTGCCCCACTTGCCCCCCAGCCCAAGTGAGGGGAGTCTCCGGCACCACAACCTTGGGGGAAGTTTGGGAAGCTTCCCCCCTCCAGCAGAAGGCGGGTGGGCAGTGATGGCCACGGACATTGTGAGGGAACGAGACGGACGGACGGACATGGGACGCGTTGGGCACATGTGAGGGGTCCTGGTACCCCGCTCTGCAGCCACCTCCAACAGCATCAATAGCATCAGTAATGTCAATAACGTCAATAACGAGGGGTGGCCAAACCAAGGGAGCGGTGAGAGACGGTGGGTGAAAAATAAACGCGTTTCATCAGGTGAGGGTGGGGAGAAGCAA